AATGAGTTGTACGATGTGGTGGAAGTTCTTGTCAAAGGAGGTGCAAACTTCGGCGGCTATATAAGTCTGTCAAAAGTCGGTGAAATTCCAGCAAGAATTGGGTACATCAAAGTCGATGGAATTTATGAAATACATGAGCTATAAAGTCCGCAATTCCGGTAGGATATAAGGTGTCAAAGTCATGTATAAGTTGTCTAGATTAATCCTCGATGACGGTGTAGCATGTCTATAAATAGGAACTTGTGTTTGTTGTAATAAAGATGTATGAAAAAGAGAGAGATCATAAGAGAAAAGAGAGAGTAGAAACTTAGATAGCAGCGGCTATCAAGAGAAAAAATTGAGAGTGTTGTAACACCCATCTATTGAGAGAATATTTACGAGAGAGAAGAGATTTCTTTTGTACTCACTATATCATCAATAAATATTTCCATTTGAGTTAAAGCCTAGCACGCTTCCAACGGATACCTCTCCATTTTACTATCACGAAAGGAGATGTTCTAGATTATTGCTTAGTGTATGTGATGATATGCTTGTTGAAAAGAAATTGCTCTATATTTTTGAGTTACGTTATTTTCACCTTAAAGAGCAGTTTGCACTTAAAGACCTTGGCAAATTGCATTATTTTCTTGGCATTGAAGCCACTTGGAAACTGTGTGGCCTATTCCTCACCCAATGAAAGTATATTAAGGATCTACTCTATGGATCGAACATGATGAGCTTGTCATTCTATTGCCTTTCTAACGTGTCCCAAAATGCGGCTTACTAGCTCTAATGGTGACTCTTTTTTTGATACTAATTTATATAGAAGTGTGGTGGGCATATTTCAATACCTCACATTGCCTCGTCTGGATATTTCTTATCTTATGAACAAGGTTTCGTGGTTTATGCATTCTTCAACTATTGATCATTGGCAAACAGTCAAACACATTTTGAGATATTTAAATGCCACATGATTACATGGTATTTTTCTATGCCCTTCTTCATCTATTCGTATTTCGGCTTACAATGATGCTGATTGGGCCAACAATGTTGATGATAGAAAATCAACTACTAGCTATGCAATTTTTTTTGGGCTCTAATGTGATTTTCACGGAGCTCATGCAAACAAAAAACATTGTCAAAATCTTCTACTGAAGTAGAATATCGAGCTCTATTAGCTACGACTTCTCGGGTACTTTGGTTACAATCCCTTCTTGGTGAATTACACTTATTATCCTTGTTAGCTCCCATCCTATGGTGTGATAATTTGATTGCCACATACTTAACAAGTAATCTAGTATTTCATTCATGATCTAAGCATCTTAAAATTGATTTTCACTTCATTCATAATCATGTAAGTAAAGGCCATTTAATAGTTCGCTATATTTCTTCAAAAGATCAGATTGTCAATTGTTTGACTAAAGGTCTTTCTTCCTAATGGTTTTAGTTCTTACGTGACAAGTTGACAATTATAAATTTCTTTGCTCAACTTGAGGGAGGGTAATAGAATTGCATATAGATAAGGATTATAAATAGGATAGAACTCTATTTATCCTTGTATTTATCTTTGTATATACTATTCCTTGTTAAACAAGAACTACGTAACCTATAAATATATCAATATACAACTCTCAATAGTGTGTTAAATTCGCCATACATAAATCTCTTTAATAACACGAAGAACGAAAAAAGATCTGCACAAGACCTAAAAGGAAGAAAGAGAAGATAGGGTTTGATTATTTAATTTTAAAATTTTTTTTCAAACCAATTTGATGTTTTTTTTACTTATGTTTCTGGAAGGAAAACATCATGTGTCTCGAAGTATCTCTTAAGATTATAGGTGACCAGTATTTGATTAAACCTAATTAATCTAATCAAACTAAAATTGAAATACTAATTAACTTTTGTTTGTAATTAAATTGAGTTATTAAAACACCAAAACTGAATGCAAAACTGAATTAATTTCAATCATTCGGTTTTGGTTCAATTTTAAAAGTACTTAATTCTGTTTCCACCAAAAACCAAATTATATATATATATATATTGAAGAATATGTTTGAAATTTGCTTAATTATTTAATTTTAATAATGGAGAATATAAGTAGTGAGATTTGAACTCATAACCATTTCTTATCTTTCATATAGACCAATATAGATTATTTAGGCTAGAGAAAGTAATTCACATTATAAGAAAATTGGAAAATAGCAACGAAAATTAGTGATGGATTATAGTCTATTGCTAAATAGTGATGGATCGAGTGAACGGATTATAGTTGTTGAGGTGTGAACCTTAGCTATGGAACGCCAATAGATTTTCAGCTAGGGACCTAATATCCGTAGCTATATTTGGTGGCAAAATGTTTGTGGTTATTTTAGAGATGATTTCATGATGAGTTTATGAGGGACATCGGCAACGAAATAATTATTTCATCGCTATTTTTGGGTTCGGGATTAGCAATGGATATTCCATTGCTAATTGCATATTTTCCTTGCAAATTAGTAACGAAAACATCCATCGCTAATATTAAAAAACAAGGAGCAAACTTTGGTAATTCAAATTACACCAAATTAGGGACGAGTTAGCAAGTGACACTTATGTATGTCATTTATTAGTGATGGATTACTAATCAAATTGTGTCCGTCGCTAATCCTAAATCCCGAAATCATAATTTTTCTTTCTTCTTCCTCTCCTTTTCCTCCTCCAACCGTTGTTATCATCCCCACCCAAAACCATCAAGAAACCTTGCTTCTCCACTCCCCAACAACCACCACCTACTCCAAACTCTTTTCTCTCTAAAAAGCCATGAATTTTCTCCTTCCTTTTTGTCTCTTCCTTGTTCGAAAGTATGTTCTCTCCCTCCTTTTTTTTTTCCTAAAAAATTATTATTTTTTCATAATTGTTAGGTTAATCATGATTAATTGGTTGAATTTTAATTTTTTTATATTTAATTATTAATTGATTAGGTTAATTTGTTAATTAATTTTTTTAAATTAATTAAGCTAATTTGTTAATTAGGGTTAAATTAATTAGGTTTGAATTAGGGTTAATTTATTTAAGCTAATTTGAATTAGAGTTAAATTGATTAGGTTAATTTGAGTTAGAGTTAAATTGGTCGAGGTTAATTTATTAATTAATTGGTATTTAAATTAATTAGGTAAATTTGTTAATTATGATTAAATTAATTAGGTTTTAATTATGGTTAATTTACTTAGGTTAATTTGAATTATATTTAAATTAATTAGATTAATACGAATCGAAGTTAAATTGGTTAGGTTAATTGTTAATTCATTGGTAGTTAAATTAATTAGGTTAATTTGTTAATCGAGGTTAAATTAATTAGGTTAATTAGGTTTGAATTAGTGTTAGTTTACTTAGGTTAATTTGAATTAGACTTAAATAAATTTGGTTAATTTGTTAATTAATTATTATTTAAATTTAATTAGGTTTAAATTAGGTTAATTAACTTAGGTTAATTTGAATTAGAGTTAAATTAATTAGGTTAATTTTTATTAGTTAGTTGAGTTTTAATTTTATTTATATTGAAAATTGTTAATTATTTGTAATTTTAAATTTAATTAGCTTTGAATTAGACTTAATTAAAGCTATTTGATTTAGATTTAAGTAAATTAGGTTAATTTTGTTTAATTTTTTCATTTCTAATTTTATTTATATTATAATTTTTTAATTATTAATTATTTAATATTAATTAGGTTTGAATTAGGGTTAATTTAATTATTTTATTGATGATTATTAAAGTGTATCGAGATACTCTATAACATATGAAACCTAAGGGTTCGGAGACCTCGGGAGTTAAGAAGAAATACGGTTGGTTCAATTCTTTGTGAAAGAGCTGAGAGGATAAGTTTGACATTTAATTTCAATAGAATGTCCAAAGAAAGTGCCGATCTCGGTTTGAATAAATTGATTGTTGATTGATTTTTGTGTTATCATGGTTAATTAAACATATTTACAAGTGTTGAGTATTTTAGATGTAGTTTTTGGTGATCTTTAGGAGTATCTAATAATTAAAAAATGTTCAATTTACAAGAAAGACTACCAAAATTTTGTTAGACCCTCAAAATTGACTTTTACTATTTTTTGAGATTTTTTTTTCCTTATGTTTTTTTTTTTTTTGGAATTGCTTTAGGGTTTGGGTTTTGTCTCGAATTTTGCTACTTATGTATGACTTAGAGTTTGAAAAACACAGCTTTGTTTGATTAATAAAAGTTTATAAGAGAGTATCTAGAGTTTATCCCAATTTTTGATATTCTTTGAATCAATGGAATTAAAGCCTATTTCTAGGTACTTATGCACAATTTAACGAGGTTGTAATAGATCGATATTTAAGTTTCAGATAAATGGTATTTATTTTCTTCTTATAAGCTTATGTTACGTGAACCTTCCTAGAAGAGTGAAAAGAAAGTTAGCATTGCTACAAAATTCAGCTTACCAATCAAGTAAATCAATAAATTACTTGTCTTTATTTCTTTGAATTTCATAGCATACTAACATTTAGAATCCTTTATTTGACTTATTTTTGTTGGTAGTTGTTTTTTGCAACAAGAACATCTAGGTTATTTATGTTGTCTTTTTTACTTTTTTCATAGATTAAAAAAGTTACTAATTATTATGTCATTTCAATATTTTTTTATATAATCTTTTAAAAAATACTTTTATTTTTAGAATTGCATCTGGACAATTTTTTTTATTTTTTTAATTTACGAAAATAGATTTTGATGAGGTATATTTTAGAAAAATAAATCACTTCAAATTTGGGCCAGAAAAATATTTTAGAACTGGTAGACCATCTCTTTGGGATAAAGAGTAGTATTTATTAATTCAACTCCTTCAACACATACTAGAACATCTGCCAACATCAATAGTTACTGCAAAGTATGGTAGATTTATAACCTTATTATGGGATAAAGAGAGTAGTATTTACTAATACATGAAACAGGACATCTACTAATAGATGATCACAACCATTCATCAAGACCTTACAAAATATCAATACAAGTAATCTATCTTGCCTCTAACACTGAAATTGAGCATTCGTTAGCTGAAGGTGGTTTTCTCTGGCTTGATGAAGAATTTGCTTCAATAAGATCCCTTTCAGTGAAAAATCCTGGTTGTTTAGGCCGAGGCAATTCATCTTCATTACCCAACATCAAAACCACATATGACATGTTTGGTCTATATTCTGGATTTTCTTGCACACACAATAGCCCCACATGAATTGAACGTAGCACTTCAGATAAGTAGTGTTCTTCGCCAATTGATTCCGCAGCCAATTCTAGAGGCCTGCCTTCTATGAACAGTCTCCAAGCCTGATAAACAAAATCAGGCTGTTAATAACACATTTAGTATGTAGAAATAAGAAAATTTTCCACTGACATTATCTTCCCAAGACTCAGGGATCCAAATCCAGTATGCTTACCCTTGTCAGTCTCGATTGTTTTTCAAAGTTCAATTTTTTTTCCCAGTATTTGTAGTGATCATTTCTCATTGAACATCTCAAAGCATCTTGTATC